GGTATTAGTGTCTATTTCCTTCTTTAGGTCTAATAGAGTCAATTTCTAAGGCTGAGGCGTAAATTAATTATTTTTAGAATGAAAATAAATGGTTTTCTTTTAGATTTTAAGCTGCAGTTATCACAGTAGTTATTGGTATTTTAATTCCCTGCCTTTGGGATATAAGATGGTGAACATACTTGACCTTTGATAGGCTGAGTTTCCATATCTTTGATAATTTTTATTGACATTTTAAATGTTTATTTACTGACTTTTTCCTCCTTAAAATGAAGATTTTTATATGCTCATAGTAAGAAGAAAAAAAGCCTAACAATATAGAAATGTATAAGAAAGATGAAGGAAGAAAACCCAAATTTTGCACTCAGAAAAACCTGGTTAGCATTTTAAATGCTGAAGAGTTGGCCATGTTGGGAAGGGTACTGTGGTTTATTTTAGATTAAGATGATGAGGGATTTGCCACTACTAGAAGAGACCAGGGAAGAAGAGAAATAATCATACTAAGTTATCCTGAAATAAGACATTTAAAATATACATGAAATACTGTTAATTTAGCTTTGAACATTTCTGTTGGATTGTTCTTAGTTTAATTATATAATTTTTAATTCATAAAAATATACCTCTGTTGTTCCTTCTGAAGTTTGTGTGACACAGTTGGAAAATACCTTTGCTTTAATGAAGTGAAACTGAGAACAAAAAACCCTGACTTCTTGGCATTACTATCAAAAGAGAGAAAATAGATTAAAACTCAGAATTACTAGAGCTCTAATAGTTTAGAATCTTTGTTTCCGTTAGAAAAAAATGTTTTTCCATTTACTTTATATGATGATTAACATAAACTTTTTACTTTTATTTTATACAGACAAGGTCTTTACTGGGTGTATTTGAAGAAGATGCTGCAGCTATTTCCAACTATATGAACCAACTGTATCAAGCTATGCATCGGATTTATGATGCACAGGTAAAAAACTAAGGGCTAACTCAGTACTTTTTTTTTATGAACCTTTAAGCCCCACAAGGACAGAAATAGTATCTGTCTTATTTTCTAGTGCCTAGCCCTGTCCTGGGCTCATAGTAATAAATACTTGTATGGATGAATGAACATTAAGTATTTTGTATCACAGAGCTTACATTTCAATTACTAGTGTACAGTTTGTAGCACTGCAAAAGTGACAGAAGATGGAAGCATCTGTCCCTTCTCCCAAAACGCTGTTAGGGCTTTCTAATTGAGATTCACTGATAGTGATCTTTGCCTAAGATTTGGGTGAAGACCCCATATTGTCACCAGTATTTTCCCTAACCACACTTTTAATCTTAAGGAACACTTCTCCTTTTTGAGTAGAAGATTTGAAAGTAGTCTGTCTATCTAGTTAGAAGAAGGTAATAAAAATTAGATGTAGCTCTGGGGTACAGGAGATGAATTTAAGAAGGGTATGAATACATTTTCTTGATGAACAAGCATAAAATTTGAGGCTATGTTTGTGTAACTTAATTATGAGTTTTAACAGTAACCTGGGTTTTTTGAAGTACTTTCTTTGGGATTAATTAAGTATACAAGTTTTATTTTCAAACCTCAATTTCTCTTCCTTCTGGATTCACATTTTCATTATGTACTTAAAAGTTGTTATGATAGTTGTTTATTTTTTCTTGTGAAAGATCTCTCAGTGTTTGATTTCTGGTCACAGTTATACTCAATTAAAGAAAAATATTATTTTTGTCATATTCATCACTGAAAAAACTTTTAAAAAATTTTTCGTATGTCTATGTTATATGACTAGGTCAACCACGTTTTGGTTATATGTTATTAAATGCTTATCATAGTACAGTATCAGCATATAGAGAGAGGGATAATCAGTCATAAATGTAGAATCTCTAAAGATTTTGCTTAGGTTTTGTACAGTTTACTTCTAGCTTTTTAAATACTTAATTTTATGCTTAGTTTTTATTAGCCAAAAAAAAAAATAAAAAAGCCCAACAATCACAACATACCTGGAACATTGCTGAATTCCTTGACATTGTCAAGGTCATGGTTTGAGCTTCTTTTAAAGTACTTTAGTGGTAATTTCTTTTCCAGTTATTTAATGAGGGTTTTAAAAAAATGTTATATGATATTTATGTTAAGTGATAATAAATAAAAGTAGCCTAGGTGTATCTTCAAATAAAACTTTTTTTAATCAGTAATATTATGCTAATTTAAATGCTAATCTTTTTCTGTAGAATGAATTAAGTGCAGCAACACACCTGACTTCAAAACTTTTAAAAGAATATGAAAAACAGGTACTGTATATCAAAGTTTTAAAAGCATAATATAAAATAGGTAGTGATACAATATTTGTATGGATAATAGACTTTTTCATCAAGAATCCTTAAGCTTTCTTGAATTCACAGACTATGCCATTAAAATTCTACTATATGGGCCAGCCCGGTGGCGCACTGCTACAGTGCGCCGCTTGGGAAGCGCGGCAGCGCTCCTGCCGAGGGTTCGGATCCCACATACAGACCGGCAGCTCACTGGCTGAGCGAGGTGTGGGAGCAACACCGAGGGTTGCGATCCCGTTGCCGGTCCCGGTCCGGTACGGGCGCGACACTGAGGGTTGCGATCTGTTGCCGGTCACGAAAAAAGCCAAAAAGGAAAAAAAAAAAAAAAAATTCTACTATAGCACTCAATGTTGAGATAATTTTAATGATTTAATATTAGATACAGAGGTTTTACCTAGTTTATGTCTCTTTCTTTTTACAAATAAAGAAACTGAGGCTTGCTCAGTGTTATGCTGTTGGTTATTGGAACTGGAGCTAAACACCAGATCTTTAACTCCCAGTACAATGTACATTCCAATATACCATGTTAACAGGTTACTTAGCACACATTTTAATTAATGTTTATTAATTATGCAAAGTACACTGTTTTATTAAAATGAAATTTTTAGAGCTTATTCAAAATTTTAGAAGTATTCTGAAGTTACTTAAAAATGAAAATTATTACATTGTCATTCACAAAAGACAGATGGAACTGAATCTTTACCTCAACTCTATTTCTCATTTTTCAGCGTTTTCCACTGGGGGGTGATGATGAAGTTATGAGCTCTACTTTACAACAGTTTTCAAAAGTTATAGATGAAGTAAGTGTTTATTTTGAATAAGTGGTCTTATGATTAAGTTACTCAAGTTGTTTGGCCTTTTTTTTTTTTTTTTTGGCTGCTAACCAGTATGAGGATCCAAACCCTTGACCTTAAGTTGTTTAGCTTTTATCAGAAACTTTTATTATTATGATGATATGAGTAAAGCTCTAGTACAAAGCTTACTAAAGAAGGACTTTATTTCCACATCTTGGTGGCTGTCTCATAAAAGGAATACTTTCTTATTTATTTTTTTAATTCAGCAAAAGCATTTTTTTGGCCAGAATCAAGTCTTAATACATTTAAAAAGACTAAGATCATAGAAAATAAGTTCTCTGACCACAATAACAGAAGGAAATTAGAAACTTTACAGATCTGTGGAAATTAAACAATGCTCTCCTAAATAAACAATGGGTAAAACAAAAACACAAGGATATTAGACAGTACTTTAAGATAAAAAATCAAAGTGCAACATATCCAATATTTATAGGATGCAGGGCTCATTCAGTGCTTAGAGGAAAATTTATACTTGTAACTAAATACATATATTAAAAACAAGAAAAATATCAAATCAGTAATGTAAACTTTTACCTTAAGAAAGTAGAAAAAGGAAGCAAACTAAAGCAAAAGCAAATATAAGTAGGAAATAGCAAAGATCATAACAGAAATATATGAAATAGGGAATTAAAAAACAATAGAGAAAATCAACAAAACCGAAAGTTGATTCTTTAAAAAGATCAACAAAATTTGCAAACCTTTATCTAGACCGAGAAAAAGAGAAGACCAAAATTACTAAAATCAGAAATAAAGCAGGGGCATTATTACATTGTCATTATGGTTTTTTGTAGTTGTAAGATTTAGTTTCTTTCTCTTTCTCATTTGCATTTTTGTTCTACTAGTGGGTTTTATTCTTTCTTGTGTATTCATGGTAGTGATTATGGTTTTTCAGATGCCAGATGCAGGACATCCTTGAGGATTTCTTGTAGGGTTGGTTATGTGGTGGTGAACTCCTGCAGTTTTTGTATGTCTGGAAAATTCACTATTTTCCCCTCATTTCTGAAGGATAGTCTTGCTGGGTATAGTATTCTTGGCTAGCAGTTTTTTTTCCTTTAGTATTTTGAGTATATCATCCCATTTTCTTCTGAACTGTAGAGTTTCTGTTGAGAAGTCTGCTGTTTTTCTGTTAGGGACTCCCTTATAAATTATATGATGCTTTTCTCTTGCTACTTTTAAGATTCTCTCTCCGTCTTTGAGCTTTGCAAGTTTGACTGTAGTGCGTCTTGGAGAGGATATTTTCGGGTTGAATCTATTTGGGGATCTTTGAGCCTCCTAGATCTAAAGGTCCTCTCTCCCTATACTTGGGAAGTTTTCTGTTATTTCATTGAATAGGTTTTTCCATGCCTTTTCCTTTCTCCTCCCATTCTGGAATAGTAATGATTGGAATGTTTGTGTGCTTAAGGTTGTCAGTTAGCCCTTTTAGATTATCTTAATTTTTATTTTTATTTTTTTTATTTATTTTTTTATTTATTTTTATTTTTATTTTTATTTTTTTTTTGTCTTTTTGTCTTTTTTTCCGTGTCCGGCAACGGATCGCAACCCTCAGTGTTGCCCCCGTACCGGACCGGGGACCGGCAACGGGATCACAAGCCTCGGCGTTGCTCCCGCGCCTCGCTCAGCCAGTGAGCGGGAACCGGTCTGCATATGGGATCCGAACCCTCGGACGGGAGCGCCACCGCGCTTCCCAAGCGGCGCACTATCCAGTGCGCCACTGGGCCGGCCCAAGATTATCTTAATTTTTAAAAATTATTTTCTCCTTTTTGCTTTACCCACCTAGGTTGTTTCACAAAGACTGTCTTCAAGATCAGAAATTCTTCTTCTTGTTCCAGCCTGCTGCTTAAGCTCTTGGTTGTGTTTTTTATTTTGTTGAGAGAATCTTTCAGTTCCATGACTTCTGCAACATTCTTTTTTAAAGTAGTAGTCTCTTTGTAAATTTCCTCCTTCATATTCTGTATTTTTTTCTTTTCTTGTTTCATTATGTTGTCTGAGTCTTCCCATATCTCAGTGACTTTCCTTAAGGTTTTTGCTCACAATTCCTTTTCAGTCACTTCAATGGTTTCCTGCTCTATGGGGTCTGGTGTTTGAGAATTTCTGTATTCTTTTGGTGGTGTCATATTTTCTTGGGTTTTTGTATTTCTAATATCTTCACATTGATGTCTGGTCATCTAGTAAAGCAGTTGCTTCTTCTATTACTCTAGAATGGGCTTTGAGGAGAGAGACGTCCTCTTCTTTTTCTGGTCTTAGCTGGTGACTCTCCTTGTGTCAGTGTAGTCAAGTGTCTGGCAGGCCACCGCACAGTGGCTGTGGCATTGAGCTGCTTTTGTAGTAGCTCTGACTGTGGTGAGCCGCCTGGGTGGAAGTGGTGATTTCAGCGTGCTCTCTGCCTGCTTCCAGGCGGAGGGGCTGCCCTCAGCTCCTGCCTAGGACTTCAGGCCTGCTCTCTGCCTGCTTCGGGAGGAGCTCTTTATCTTATTAAAGCGAATTGTTTTCCAGGAATAAATATACAGGTATTCTTTCTCCACTCCTAGTCCATGTAATATTCAGTCTTTTCATTTTGTTATCTGATGTAGGCAGGGAGAGGAATTAAGCTGTGAACTATAGCTAGGCTCTTTGTGGCTTCTCTTTTGCCATCAAGCAACATTTTACAGTTCAGTTCTTATTAATTTTTCCATCTCAAATAGCCCAAATCAACCCTTAGTTTCTCAAACCAGTCATCACAACAAATTATTAAAAAAAAAAAAAGGCCTAGAAGGTAGGAGGAAGAAAGGTCATGAGAGATGTATGAAGAATCCACAACTGTTCTCTACCGTTGCAGTGAAAGCTCTTCTTATCACATAAACCACGAGATAGTTCTATCTTTTCTAGTCCTCTTAACTGGAAAGGTAATTTTTTGAAATATTTTAATGGCTCATTATAGCAAAATGTTATCCCAGGAGATCAATATAAAGAAATAATATTTATAGGAAATGGATTTTTTGTTAATTTTTTAAAAATTGTGGTAAAATACACATAACAAAATTTGCCACTCATGACATTCGGTACATTCACAGTGTTTTGCCACTCATGACATTCAGTACATTCACAGTGTTGTGCAGCCATCACCACTGTCTAGTTCAAGAACATTTTCATCATCCCAAAGGAAACCTTGTGCCCATTAAGCAGTCGCTTTTCCCTTGTTGCTCTCCCCAGTCCCTGGCAACCACTAATCTGCTTTCTGTCTCCATGGATTTACCTATTTTGTTTATCTAATATAAATGGACTCATAATTTGTGGACTTTTATGTCTCTTTTGATTTCACTCAGCATAATGTGTTCAGGGTTCATCCATGTTGTAATATACATCAGTACTTCATTCCTTTTTGGCTGAATAAAAGTTCGTTATATGGATATACCATGTTTTGTTTATCTATTCATCAGTTGATGGACATTTAGGTTGTTTCCACTTCTTGGCTAGTGTGAATAATGCTGCTATGACCATTCGTGTACAAGCTTGTTTTTTTTGTTTTTTTAAACGTCTGTTTTCAGTTTAGTATATAACCAGGAGTGGATTTGCTAGATCATGTGGTAATTTTATGGTTAACTTCTTGAGGAACCACCAAACTGTTTTCTACAGTGCCTGCACCACTTTACATTTCCACTAGCAGTGTAGTAGGGTTCCAGTGTTTGCATATCCTAGCCAACAATTGTTATTTTCATTTTTCTTTTTTATTATGCCATCTAAGTGGGTGTGATGTGGTATCTCATTGTGATTTTGATTTGCATTTTCCTGATGGCTAATGATATTGAGCATCTTTTCATGTGTTTATTGGCCATTTGTTTATCTTTGAAGATGTATCTATTCAAATGCTTTGCCCATTTTTTAATTGGGTTATTTGTCTTTTTGTTATTGAGTTGTAAGAGTTCTTAATTCTAGGTACAAGTTCCTTATCAGATATGTGATTGGCAAATATTTTCTCCCATTCTGTGGATTGTCTTCACTTTCTTGATAGTCCTTTGATGCATAAAATCTTAATTTTGATGTAGTCCAATTTGTATTTTCTTTTGTTCCTTGTGCTTTTGGTTTTATATCTAAGAAACCATTGCCAAATCCAAGGCCATCGTACGTTTTCTTCTGAGAGTTTTAAATGAATTTTTTTACTATAATATTTTGTACTGTGTCACATAATTTTTAGTGTTTTCTTATGTAAAATTTCTTACTAGATTTTGTTTAATTTTTATAACACTGGTGAAATGTCTCTGTATAGTTAGTTATTTGGCCTTTTTTGGTCTTTCTTTTACTAGCTTAGCTCTTGTCATGCGGTACTTTCAACTCAACTTGCTGATGCCATGATGTTCCCCATTACCCAGTTTAAAGAAAGAGATCTGAAAGGTATTGAAGTCAAGCTTATGTTTACTTTCATCGGCTGTCAGAAGATCAATGCATGTAAAATGTATATTACTCTTTACCTAAATTATTTCTGACCAAAGTCTGTGCCACATTCACTTTAATCAGTCACTGAACACTTATAGGCGCTTCTGCTAACTGTCGAACTAGATACTGAGAAATACTTGTATGAATAAGATATTCCTTTCCTTGAGAAGTCCTAGAGAAGAAGGAGATGGGTAAACACATAATCATGACATTATCTCTCTTATAATTAGGGAATGAGCGAGGTGCTCATAGGAGGGGGTCAGAAAGGCTTCACCAAGGATGTGACATGAGCATTGAACAATGAAGAGGAATTTGCTTGGAGAAGAGAATATTGTTCTGTTACAGGGACTAGAATGCACAAAAGTATGGGTTGTAGAAATACATAGTTTGCTTTGAGAATACCAAGAGATTCAGTGTGGCTACAGTGTTGGGTGTGTTAGGGTGAGGCAGAAGAGGAATTTAGAAATAGATTAGATGGGACTAAATCATGCTAAAGAGTTTGGACTTGAGTTTATGAGCAAAGGAGAAGTCAATGGAGGTCTTTAAGGAATAGAGAGAGACGATCCCTTTGTTTTAGTAGGATGGAATAGAGTGAGTTTGCTGTCTAGGAGATTGGACTAGGAAATTGTGGGAGTCTAGTGAGGTATGATCAAGGCTTGAATTAGGATAGTGGCACAGGGCTTAGAGGTGTGTGTAGAGCTGGAGTGGTGGGATATAGTGGTGCTAGCACATCTCACAACCCACAACTTAGTACTATGTGGGTTTGTTTATTTGTTTTACCCATTTAGGATTACTAGGTGATATGAATTTTATATAATCGGCTCTGCCTTCTCATAATTTACAGACTTATTTCCAAAATATATAGATAGAATAAAAACATTGAACTAATGTATCAGTGAATGGTAAAGTATTTTAATTATACATCGAATAAAGACAAATGTATTTTAGAGACGGAGTTAATAATTGTGGTGGTGATCTTAAAGAATGGTCATTTCCAAGGTCAAGAAACAAGATCTCTTTTCTCACAATGTAAAGGGACTGAATGGCATGATCTTATTAATTTTTTGTTTCTCATTCAGCATTTGTATCAGCCTTTGTATCAGTCATGTTTCAAAAGATGAATTAATAACTTAGATTCTCTGGCACTAAATCAGAATATTTGCATATCTTAGCATTTACACTGGGTTTTAAAGTTTGTTTTTGTGTCATGTTACTAATTTGTGACAAGTAGATTTTTCTGGAGGTGTAACTGTTGCTAGTGATAGCAAATGCTCTATACTACTTGAAACAGTAACTTTTTCACCTTGAATGTTGAAGTATGGAATATCATTTGGAGTTTTAATTATAACTTAAGTGGCAGTTACTGTTTTCTAAACAAACTTTAAGATACTTCATAAATATGCTAAACTGAAATTATTCTTGAACTTTTTCAGAAATATTAACATTAAAGGAAGTGTTTCAGATTGCCAGTAATGGTAAGCCCTGAATACTTTACACATTTATTTCTTGTACTGTTGCATTTATCAGTGCACATTCATGGCTAAATTCTTTTTTATAATTGAAAAAAAATCTAATTAAAAGTTTAAATGAGTATTATTTAAATCAGTGTTATTACTTAAATTGCATTGTTTACACTAAAAGAAAACTTTTAAAGGAAATTAAATCAGAGTTATAGTTTTTATCTTCATAATGCCTAAGGAGGTGGTGTAATATTTTACCTTTTTAATTTTTCTATATATTCCCATATTTTTTAAATGAACATTTGCTATTTTTGTACTAAAAATACTTTTAAAAACTTTCAGTGGATTACAGTTTTCTTGGAATTAAGTGGTTTTGTTTTTGTTTTTGTTTTTGAACCAATTTGATAAGTAGACATATAATTTAGGGGAAATTTGGCTGTGGGGAAAATTTGAGTGCAGTTATCATGTGGTAGGGAGTTCTTATCTTGCTTTAATACACTTGCAAAAGGATGCACATGCAAAGACCATTTAAAAGCATTTCTAAGTTTTGTGAAATACTGTTGTATTGTTGTTAACACTGATTTCTGTTTTCCAGATCATGATGCTGCAATTAACAGATATAGCCGATTGTCAAAAAAAAGAGAAAACGACAAGGTGTGATAACATATTTACTCTTTCAGTATCATAATTAACAACTATTTCATTAGGTGGTCTAGTTTTTCCTGTTCAAAAATAGAGCCAGTAGTTACTTTGTATGTTTTGCTGAATTGTTTTTATTCATTCATTCCTTCTAGCTGTTCAAAATCTTTCTGATAATTGTTGATCTCTTATTTTTCTTCCAAAATTTGATAAATTATAAGTAAACATAATTATTCTAAAAATGTAATTGATGCCCAGTATATAACACTGCCTTTTTTTGCTTTCTGCTTTAATAACATTTCATTTGTTCTGTTTTTATTTGACCATATACGTATTCAGAAATGTCTTCTGAGATGCAGTAGTCAAAAGTTGAGTTGTCATACATAATTCAGTGAAATTGTTATGAGGCCCACCTCATTTACAGGGAATGTGTATCTTTTGGTATTTCTTCAAGGAGTGAAAGCTAGAAATACTACACTATATTTGAGGAGAAATGCATTCAAGTAAAGATCAAAGAACAGAATATTAACAAGTTCACCTGGGTGCTCCTTCAGATCATCTGTCTCCAGTGCCTAATCCAAGGCTTGATGTGTAGGCCTTACTAGATGCTTGTGAGTGAGGTGATCTCTGTGCCTGGGAGTTGGTGTCTGCAGTCTTGGCTGCAGCTGATGGTCGAGACAGAGTGACTGCGTGTGGGAATCCACAATTGGGTAGATTTTTGCACTTACTGTGCAATAGGTACTGTGACAAGAAATGGAATGTTTCTCACACAAAGTTCAGTACAAAGATCTGATTTCCATTTCTAATTTTAGTTCAAAACAAGCTATTTGGTGCAAATATTGATAAAATATATACATTTTGAGTTCTACATTAGTTATTTTGCCTTAGAGAAGTAGTTAAAAGCTCTAGATATAAAATTTGGTATATTTTACATTGCCTCTGGCTGTTTCAAGTATTTTTAAAAAGCATTCTTTTCACCAATTTTATTTTATTTTTATTTTTTTATTATTATTATTTTTTTTTTCCTTTTTTTTGTCTTTTTTCATGTCCGGCAACGGATCGCAACCCTCAGTGTCGCGCCCGTACTGGACCGGGACCGGCAACGGGATCGCAACCCTCGGTGTCGCGTCCGCACCTCGCTCAGCCAGTGAGCAGGAACCGGTCTGTATGTGGGATCCGAACCCTCGGTGGGAGCGCCACCGCGCTCCCAAGCGGCGCACTGTAGCAGTGCGCCACCGGGCCGGCCCTCACCAATTTTATTTTAAAAATGTATTTAGCACCTACTATATGTCAAACAGTATGTCGGGTACCTTTCGGGAACAGTGTGAGCAAGCTCCACTCCTACCCTTACTAGTAGATCCACATTTATTGAAGGTTTCCTGTGTGAAGGTATGTAGCTGGACTAGGTGCTCTAGTAGAAGGGTGAAGAGAAGACATGGATTAACACTGAGTTAAGTGCAGTAGAAGAGGTCTTAAAATGCTGAGAGAGCATAGAGAGGGTAGCAGTTAACTTTCATTGGTGAATTGGGAAAAATTATACTTTTAGGAGGTGATATTTGCATTGAAGATAAGTGGAAGTCACCAGTTTGGGACTGGAGAGAGGATGTTCCTGAAAGATAAGCAGCCTTTGCAGAAGCACATGGTGGAGTCAGGGGAGTGTAAGGTTAGGAGCACTGGCTTTAGAGTCAGACTGTTTGGGGATAAATCTGTTATTTGCCTGATGTCACTGACTAAACAGTTAATTTCAAGCATTTATTTCCCTATCAAAAAAAACTCAGTAGTTGTGAGGATGAAATAAGTAACACATGCAGAGTACCTGGCTTATAGCAAGTTTTCAATAAATTCTAGCAATAATTTTGATGATGGAAGATAATCATTTCACTGTGTCTGGAGCATAGGATGTATTTGGGAGATATGGCAGAACTGACAAGTAGTTTGGGGCCACATTACTATATTAGTGACATTGAAATTTGTGTTAGGTGGGCAGCCACCAAAGGATTCTGTGTAGGTAACACCATGCAATTGTGTTATAGAACAAAAATAGTCATGAAAATGTGAAGGAGACAAGACTAGAGGGAATCTAATGAGTAGGTATTAGAGTAGTTTACAAAGACATAATGAAGATCTCAGCTAAGGTTGTTATTGAATTGAAGAGGAAGGAATATTTTTAGTAGATATTTCATGAGTCGAATTGACAAGATTTATGGTAGGAGGAGGAGTAAAAGATAAGTCCTAGAGTTTTTGGATGACTGGATGGATCCTGGAGTAATTAAGAGAGCTAAGAAACAAAGTAGAAAGGCAGGTTTTGTAGGGAAGATATTTCTTCAAATTTGTATCCTTCAGTGCGTGCGCATACACACATGTACACACATAAAAAACCCACCTGGAGATGTGTTTCCTCTGGCTCTTGGGAGAGTGAGGGGTAGGAGATAAAAATTTGTGAGTCATTAAGTCGTTGGTATAATGGAATATTCTTGGTACTTGATGAGGTATTCTAAGGAGATCAAGAAGAGAGGAGAGCCTAATGCATATTACGTAATGCGTACTCAATAAATATTTGTTGTCTGGATAAAAGAACTCGAGGGGAGCACATGTATTTTAAGTAGGTGTGAAGGAAGACAAGCAAGTACAAAAGTGGTAGGGAGAGATCAAAGAGGGTGGAGTGTTATACTGTGAACTCATTGAGGTCAAAGACTAATAGCTAAGCTGATAAACAAATGTCCATCTTTCCTCCATGTGGCAGGCTTTCTCTGCTATGCTTAGTTATTTATCATTCTTAGTTATGTACAGAATTCTGCTTTTAAAATGCATTTTGTAAATGATACAGTTGGTGGTTAAACAGGAAAATGAGCTTAGCCGATATGTTGAAGGATTTCTAATAGATCAGAAACAATAAAGTTATGCTTAATTGCTTGTGATACACCATTTTCCTTTGGTAGGCTTTTTCCCACAGCCAGTACTGAAGATAATTCAAAATTAAGTAAATAGTAGTGTTTTTAATCTTTTCATTCAAAGGTGAAATATGAAGTAACAGAAGATGTGTACACTTCCAGAAAGAAACAACACCAGACCATGATGCATTATTTTTGTGCATTAAATACTCTTCAGTACAAGAAAAAGATAGCATTGTTAGAACCTCTACTTGGGTACATGCAAGCTCAGGTAAATACTGTACTATGTTTTGGGTTTTAACTATCCTAAATGCTTTATATGAAGCTTGATATTTACATTAAATGTAAAACGTTATAAACTATTACCAACATCCTCGTTTGTGTCTGTGTTTTAAAAAATAATTCTTTGGAGTACTATTTTAAGGAAGTTAGGGAGAATGGTTTTCCTTGCCAATGAAGATTTCAAATATTTTAAGGTAAATGAAACCACTTACCTTGTATTTGGACCTTGTCCACCACATTGGAGACAGGAATCAGAAACCTAAATGAATTCCAGAGTTACACCTATTGTTGGAGCTCCCATTCCCTCATGCTTCATAATAGATCTGAAAGAGAATGAACAAGTTTGAGTTTGTCCCATGTTCCTTGCACACTTCTGGAGTTAAAAATAATAGATGAGTTCCATAGTGCTTAAAGAGGTGTGCATCAGGAAGCAGGCCAGGAAATTAAGTTTTGGTTAATATAAGAAAATGTCAGTCCCTTACAAAACCAAGAGTTTAAAGGAGTTTGAATATTCCTGTAGGTAAAAGAGTACTTATTATTCATTCCAGGTATAAAACTTACTCATCTTTGTAGTAAACATGAAATAGTTTCATATAATTTATTTGAAATGCTTTAAAACTTATTTTCTAATTTTAAAAAATTGTTTACCATAACATGTGGTACTTATTTAATTCAAATAATATAAAAGGATATACAATAGACTTTAAGTCTAGCTTCCTCAGTGCCATGCTCAGTAAAAGTCACAAACTACAACATGTTTTTACACAAATGGGAATAATCCTTTTTTTTACTTAACAATGTATCTTAGAGTTTGTTTATGATTTACTTTAAGTACATTTGTGTGTATGTTTGTGTTTGTGTTGTTCAACCCCCCCAGATAAGTTTCTTTAAGATGGGTTCTGAAAATCTCAGTGAACAACTGGAAGAATTTTTAGCTAATATTGGGACAAGTGTGCAGAAGTAAGTTGTTTTTTTTTTTTTTTTTCTTAAAATTGAAAATGAAATTATGTGAATGATAAGTTAACAGCTAAATGCCATAATTTAAGAATATTTACTATTTAATTTCCTGGGGTAGTATTTTCCCTGCCATAAGAGTATTTCTCACAAGGCTTGTGGATGCTTCTTGATTTTTCACCATCTTTTCCAAAGTATGTAAACTCTGAATTTCATAACAGGGTCAAAACTGGTGGTAATTTTATTGATTCTAAACTAGATTTTATGTCTGAATACAACAGACCTATAGCAGTAATTAACCTAAGTGAAATTATCTTTAAACTCTAAATTCTGGGGATTGAATGGGAGATTACTAAACAAATCTTGCTTTCCAAGCCATGAAAGTTTAAAGAGAGACAGAAGGTTCTAATCAGGTTCAAGAGTCTGAGCAGTAATGTGGTCAGTCTGAGGCACAGAGAGAGAGAAAAATGGTTTTTTTAAAGGCACAGTACAGAACAGTTTGAAAATTCCTCCAAAGTCAGGCATTCAGTTTGGCTTCATTAGTTTTTGAAATTAGTGTTGTTTCCAAAATATCTAAGTTTATCAAATAAAATGTAAAGTTGTTTCAAAATGTACTCGTATTACTTTAACTACCCATGCCACTGCGTCTTTCTTTCTTTCTTTATTCAAAATAAATATACAAGTAAATGTGATGGGTAAGGAGTTCTTTGTTGATTATGGTTGGTAGTAAATAATCTGTTCTGTGTTAGTGTTCGCAGGGAAATGGACAGTGATGTAGAGACCATGCAACAGACAATAGAGGATTTGGAAGTAGCAAGTGACCCCTTATATGTGCCTGACCCAGACCTCACCAAATTTCCTGTTAATCGAAACTTAACCCGAAAGGCTGGATACCTTAATGCTAGAAAGTAAGAAAACTATTGTTTTTAATGTGTTGTATATCAGGTAAGGTAATACCAAATGAGTATAATAAGTAACTGATATTGTCTGCCAAATTGTTTTGGTTTTAGTACAGGTTGAACCTTTTTAGTGGTTTAGTATTTATGTGAATTTTTGACAGATGAGGTACATGAATACTTTTCAAAAGTAAAATTCTGAAAGAAGTAAAGCCAATTTTAGTTTAAATAAATCTATCAAATGTGTGAATGCTATTAAATATCATTTACCATACTTTAAATTATATGTAATTACAGCATCAAGTCAAGTTTTAGTTTTCACCTGAAGAAAACCAGGTTAACTCTAGGAATAAACTAAATTCTTTTGTTTTTAATTTATTACCTTCAAAATTGAACTGTAACCTACATTTCATGGAGCATCATTATAACAGATGCAATTTAATAATTTCCAGCTTTGTTTTGGAAACTGTTCCAACAAGTGAGTCAATGTACATGAATTTATTTTAGAGACTGAAAAATTGATATTTATATTTACTTGGCCCCTTGCCTTTTTGCAAGCTGGTTTTTCATAACGTGCTTTATTTTGTGGCTAGCTGATGATAAGGAGATTTCAGGTGTGTCGTTCTCAAAGAATGAATGTGCTTTCTTCATTTAGTAAAACAGGCTTGGTGTCATCTACTTGGGACAGACAGTTTTACTTCACGCAGGGTGGAAATTTAATGAGTCAAGCCCGTGGGGATGTAGCAGGAGGCCTGGCCATGGACATAGACAACTGTTCAGTGATGGCTGTGGACTGTGAAGACAGGCGATACTGTTTTCAGATCACTTCTTTTGATGGAAAAAAGTTAGTATTTTTCTCTACTCTTAATAAAATTCATAATATTTTAAACTACTGAAATGTAGGATATTTCCTTTTTGTTCAAAAATTTTATAGACATTCTAGGCTTATTACGTATTAAGATAATTTACTTTTTAATCTTGTAGAAATGTGTTGAATTTTCCTTTCTGACTTGGTTAAATGATTTCTTACTATTTTGAGTTTGTCCAAGCAATGTCATATGGTAAAGACCTATTATTTCATGTTAAGAGACTGGTCACCAAAAATCCTGCATAGTATGGGGAAGGCAGCACAAGTTAATGGAAAGAGTTCCAACCCTGGGGTTGGAAAGTTCAAATTCTGTACTATTCAGCCATAAAAAAGAATGAAATCCAGTCATTCAAGGCAACATAGATGAACCTGAAAGATACTGTTAAGTGCAATAAGTCAGGCACATAAAGACAAATATTGCCCGTTCTCAGTCATATGTGGGATCCCAAAAGGTTGAGTTCATAGAAGAAGAGCGTAAACTTGTGGTTGTTAGAGGCTGGGAGGGGGAGGAGGAATAGGGAAAGGTTGTTTAATGAATACAGACTTTTATAGCTAGATAGGAAGAATAAATTCTAGGGTTCTATAGCACTGTTAGGTGACTATAGTTAATGATAATTTATTGTAAATTTAAAAATAGCTAGAAGGGAGGATTTTGAATGTTCCCAACACAAAGTAATGATAAATTTTTGAGATGATGGATATGCTAATTACTCTGATTTGATCATTACATGTATGGAAATACCACTCTGTACTCCGTAAATATGTACAATTAATATATGTCCATTAAAAAAGAAAGTTCAGGGCCCTATGGCTCACTCGGGAGAGTGCAACTCTGGGAGCGCAGCTGCGCTCCCGCCACGGGCTCGGATCCTGTATAGGGATGGCCGGTGCTGGCGACACCAAGCCAGGGGTTACGATCCCCTTACCGGTCACAAAAAAAAAAAAAAAAAAAGTTCAAATTTGGATCCGTTACTTACTGTGTGATCTTAGACAAGTTACTTAACCACTTTGAGCTTCATTTTTATACATATAAAATATGGGTGGAGGAGTTGAAATCCCTACTTTGTAAATTGCTGTGAGGAATAGAAATTTATCTATTTATTTATTTATTGACCAGTAAGGGGATCGCAACCCTCGGCACGGTGTGGTCCACACCACGCTCAGCCAGTGAGCGCACCAGCCATCCCTATATAGGATCTGAACCTGCAGCCTCAGTGCTACCAGTGCCGCACGCTCCTGAGTGAGCTACAGAGCCGGCCCACGAATAGAAATTTAACATATGTAATGTGCTTATCATATAGTAGGTGCTAACAATAGTGTTATTTTTAAATGTCAATCAAATATTTCTGAGCAGATTATTTCGTTCATTAGTGTTAATAATGCCATTAAAAAAAAATTTCAATTACTTTTGCATTAAATGAGAACCTATAGAGTAGCACTTAGAACAAATTTTTGAAAAGCATAGAAAAATATAAAAAGGAAAATGTAAAGAGGAGTATGAAAAATAAACCTGTAATCTCATTAACCAGAAACAATAATTAACTTTTTGGTCTGTTGCCTTCAGTTTTTATCCTAGCTACATTTTTAAATAGTGGAAGAAATATTGTATATATAATTTGGAGATCTGCATTGACTTATTAAAAACATTTCATAATGGCTGCATGATAATCTATTTAAGGATAGACATTATAATTTAAACATTTTGCTAATGATAAATATCTAGGTTATCTGTGGGGTTTTTTTTTCTCTCAATTAAAATATTGTTTTTGACCTTTGTACTTTCTGAATGTTCAGGAGTGGCTTCCGGCTTCTCTGAAAGTCATTTTTTCCCCTATACATATTCACTTTAAGATATTATGAAAATATATTCTACCTTTATCCCTTTTTAAAAAAGATATTATGGTTCACTGTCTCTTATCATAATGGTTATTTAATTTCATACTTCTACAAACGTATAATGAATGCCAATATTGTGTGTCAGTTATCACACTAGATCTTGGGAGTCCCGGTGTTCATTTATCAAAATTACCAAATTGTTAATATGTACTACATATGCTTAAATTTTTATTTTCAGTTTTTTGCTAATACTTAACATGATTTCCCATTTCCCATTTCTGATATGATGCAAAATTAGTAAAAATTATTTTTTCTCCAACTTTTAAAAAATGGAACATCTATAGAAAAGCTAATTTTCACTGTTTGATTAATATATTGAATTTTTTATTTAACTGTATTAATGGAGAAATAATAATGAAGTAAAGTTAGTATTTTCTATTAGGATCATTGATTTATATTTGAAATATATATGATAAGTTTTAGAAAGTTGAGATTCATTGGCTTAGTTGAAGAGTATACCTTTGTCATGGTCTGTCTCCTGAGGATCAGCTCTTGTTTCCTTTTTGGTACATCTTGGCACAGATAGAGTCAGAGTTGTTAAAGTCTGAGTCCTGATGCCTCTGTTGGTCTCCTTTTCCTATGATATTGTTGGTTGTGGTTTTTGGGTTCTTTTAATACTGATTGGTTTTTATATGTACCCACATCTTTAAAGGTAAATTCTCTCGGATCATGTTGAAAGTACCATAGTTTAAAAAAAAAAAAAAGTTGAGGCTCAAACATTTTCTTTTTTTTTTTTCAGATCTTCAATTTTACAAGCAGAGAGTAAAAAAGACCATGAAGAGGTAAAACTTTATCTAGTTAATTTCTTCAGTGACGTTTAAAAATATTTTTCTGATGGCAAAACATATTATTGTGTTTATTATAGAAATTCCAGAAAATCCTAGTTAATTAAAAATTCTTTTTTTTTTCCCAGTAAAAGTCTTTAAGCAACATTCTTGTTTCTCACAGAATTTTATAGCTGGGAGGACTGTAGAAATAAATCATCTCTCTGCTATCTTAAGGGCTCAAATTCAAAAATGACCTTGTGACTCTTGCTTTCTGGCATGCTGTTAGTATCATGAGGTGACAAGTTTAATTTATTCCCTTCTCTCACCAACCCTTTGAGACACTATTTGGTTCAGTAAGAACATAGTGGCAGTAAATGTGGCACAGCAGGAAGCAAGTAAAGCTTAAAACCTTGGGAAAATGAAAGACAGAAAAACAAAAATTTGGGAGTCTCTATTTTTCCTCACAAGCCTTTTATTTTTGGCTCCATTTTTACTCCTAGTATACCAGATATGGAAGGTAAGGTACCAAGAACTGATGCTTCAAAAACTTTATCTTGAGAAATATTCTTCCATGAAAACATACCATAGCTAGATTTGAGCCATTTTACTTGGTATTATAGTCGTGTTGGTAAAAGATGATTATGGTAAAAGACAAAATTATGTAGAGATCTACCTTCATTTACTTCTCATGGAAAAGAGTTCATATTAAAACTTGCTTTTGGTCTCTGAAGAACAGACAAATGTCTCTGCTCTCTTATCTGCATGGTTTACCAAACAAAATATTTGTTTAGTTTAGTGAGGCTCATTAGGCACTAGAATCCTTGAGAGTGAACCAGAATATGTGGAGCAGGAAGTGTTTTCTATGCTAATTATTTATTAACTTGAAAGAAGGGGAGGTATGTAAATTATATTCATCAGGAATATATTTCTCTTTTTCTGCATTGGTGTTAATTATGATGTCTGAGTTCAGACTACCTTGGTGGAGATTAAGGGGGGAAGTGATATAAAAAGAAATACAGACTATTAAAGTATAATTTAACATGATTGCTACATTTTTTATTTCCTTGTGTGAAATAAATTTGGGATTTTAAATAATAAATCTGTTACATATAAATGCATATGTATATAGCAAGGTTTTTCTTATAAGGAGGATTATATGCTACTTCTAAAGAAACTTCTGTTTCAGTTTAATATCAAACATTAGCTTTTAGAAGCTTTGTAGAAAAAAAATGATTAATCACATTTTTCTATTTTTTTACTTTTGCAGTGGATCTGTACAATAAACAACATATCTAAACAAATATACTTAAGTGAAAATCCAGAGGTAATATTTTTATCTTAAGTTACTAGACCTAGTGAAATTGAATAATTCTGTGGCTTACATGGCTTTTATTAATTGTCATTATTTCTCAAGTTCTGTAATATTTTAATTCGACCTTGAATGGGTAGCTTTAATGTATCATATGTATTATGAGTGTCTGATCTCCCTAGAATAATAAATTGTTTCAAAAGTTACTGAAACTAGGGCCGGCCCCGTGGCTCACTCAGGAGAGTGCGGCGCTGGTAGCACCGAGGCTGCGGGTTTGGCTCCTATATAGCGATGGCCGGTGCGCTCACTGGCTGAGTGTGGTGTGGACGACACCGTGCCGAGGGTTACGACCCCTTACTGGTCAGGGGAAAAAAAAAAGTCACTGAAACTAGTCAACAACAAATACTTACTGGGTCTTGACTGGTTAGCTCTGCAATGAGCACCCTGGAGAAAGGAAATGAAAATAAGCCATGGCATTTGCTCTCTAGGAGCCTATCTGTATGGGGAAACAAAACCAAAACTTTAAATAACATTTTGTATAAAACAGGATGTTACTGAAAGCATATGGTGGCGAGTGAAGGCTTAAGTTTTGAGAATGTTAAGATCAGTATGAACTTTAGCTTTAGAGAAAGCTCTGTGGAGATGGTAGAAACTTGAGCTGGGTAGGATTTGTTTCTGTTTTGAGGAAAATGGGAGACATTGTAGATAAGAGAATTTAAAAAAAAAGGACACATGCAGAAATGGCATATTTATGAAACTAGTAGTGTAATTAGAGTTAAAGGTTTCTTGATGGAGAATAAAAGAAGACTGAAATGTGCATACAAATCACCTGCTGATCTTGTTAAAATGCATATTATGATTCAGTATGTCTGGAGTGATGCAGCCTGCACTCTCAGTTTTGCAAATTATACTTTGAGTAGTAAGGATATCAAACCATATGAACCCGATGGTGTAGACATAGAGATAGGTGCAGTCCAAACATACAGGCAGAACCCAGGGGTACAGATAACTCTGGAATTAATCAAGTGGATCCACACTGCAGTATAGTTGAGAGAAGACTTGGTCCTGGGACAGGAGCTGTCTGACCTCTTGCCAGTCTTGGTGGGCATGGCTGTGATGTGAACCCAGGTATCTCCCAGGGCTGGGCAGGGACTGATGATATCAGCTGAGGCTGAGAGAGCTAATTTCTCTGGGCAGCCCTGAGTCTTCTAAATCTTAAGCTGCTGTTGATGTAATGGTGGATTAGATGGGAGGGTCTACTCTAGTTAGTAACTGATTGATATAAAGGATGAAGGAGATAAATAAGGTAAAGATGACTTCCAGGTTTTAAACCAAGTGAAGAGAACAACTTGGGGGAAAAAAAAGACTTCTGTTTTTATTGTAACGGCTTTGAGGTGCCAGCCAAGACACATGATTTAGTTGCCCAGGAGAAAGTTTTGAACCAAAAAAATAAAATCTCATGACCTCTAAAATATTAGTTTTGTACAAAACTATGAGTTTGATCTTAGAAAAATCAGTGCTAACTGTAGATCAAGATACTAAAAAGAGCCTTTGCTTTTAGTAACTTGATCTCCTGCCAATCTAGCTTTTCCTTTTTGTAGGGTTAGTTGGGAGGAACAAAAAAATAAAACTAAAATGTGAATTAAATATCTTATTTTATCACCTAGGGAATATGTAGGGTATACAGTGTTTGGATTTGAATAATTCACTTATAGTCTTTTCCTACCAATTATCAGAACTCTAATTTTTAGTTAATATTTTCCAGGTTACCTAGAATTATTTTATCTGTGTTAATGAGAATAGAAATTTTGATCAGTTTGTGGCATTTATTGGTATTTTTGCTAATTACAAGACACAGAAATGCAAAACTTTTCTGATTACTTTTTAAAATTTAAAGATTTTTTATTGTGGTAAAAAAACACAAACTTTACCATCTTCACCATTTTTAAGTGTATAGAAGAGTATTGTTAACTATATATATACAATGTTGAAACAGATCTTTGATTAAATACCATTTTTATTTAGTCAGTGTTTTAAGTAAAAAAGTAAGCCTAAAAATATTTATTATGGAAAATTTACTTTCAAATTTTGTCTGAATATATTCATGATAACTTTATAAATTAATAAATATATAGGTATTTCTGAGCATAAGTATATTCTGGAAAATTATGAAAACTTTACCAGCATAGTTATAAAATACACTTTCAGGTGCTAGGCACTAGCAATACAAACCTTAATCCAAAATATCTGGTAGTTAAAAATTGAAAGAAAAATCAATATTTTCCTATTATGTATATTAGTAGAAAATAAAGGGTTTTTTTTTCTAGATTATAGGATGCAAGAAGAAACTTAAGTTATAATGTTATGAAATTAATCATGTACCTTAATATTAAGACAAAAGAATGTGGAGCTACTTTAGTAGCTCTAATTTGTATTTTAAGTATAATTCAAAAGCATTCTGACAATTCAGAGAGTTACATTCAAACTTTTGGTTTTCTTACTTTACTAATATTAGTCCTTTTTTAAAAAAAATCAAAATAGGAAACTGCTGCACGAGTAAATCAGTCTGCTCTGGAAGCTGTCACTCCTTCCCCATCTTTCCAGCAGAGGCATGAAAGCCTACGGCCAGCAGGGTGAGTTACCACACTGTGAGTTATTTAAAGAACTATATGGGCTATTTAAAGTGGTACTGAGCCCTTTGATATTAGCAGTACTACTTACATTAGTATTAAATAGTTCCTGGTACAGCAGAGAAAGTGTATGTTCAAAATGGTAAATTTACCTATAGGGATGCTAAATAAATGATGATTTCAAATTTCTCTAGTGTTTTTTTTTTTTTTTTTTTTTTTTTTTTTTTTTTTTTTTTTTAGGATGTGTAGCATTCTTCAGATCTCTGAGCCTAGGTTTCCTCACTTGTAAGGAAATTTGCGAAGATTAAATGAGATAATGAATTTATGTAGAGCGTGTGATAGTGCACAGCTCAATAAATATTTTTTTTTTTTTTTGTCTTTTTGTCTTTTTTTTCCGTGTCCGGCAACGGATCGCAACCCTCAGTGTTGCCACCGTACCGGACCAGGGACCGGCAACAGGATCGCAAGCCTCGGCGCTGCTCCCGCGCCTCGCTCAGCCAGTGAGCGGGAACCGGTCTGTACATGGGATCCGAACCCTCGGACGGGAGCGCCGCCGCGCTTCCCAAGCGGCGCACTATCCAGTGCGCCACCGGGCCGGCCCAAATTTCTCTAGTGTTTTCAACTAAATCTCTAGATTGAGGTGATTTATGTTTTTGAGTTTAATAATTGGAAAGAAAAAGTCTGTTGTTAAATAAGCTATGGTTTGGGATTGTGTTTTTATTCAAATTTGTTTTACTCTTCTCATTATAATTTTGTGATTTCTTTTTTCATAGTTTAAGTGTTTGACTTCCAAAAGAGAAAACTAAATGCAATGCCTTCTTGTTTTCCTTTGTGCTTAGACAATCTCGGCCATCAACAGCTCGAACCAGCAGTTCGGGATCCTTAGGATCTGAGTCCACAAATTTGGCTGCCCTATCTCTAGATTCTCTTGTTGCCCCGGACACTCCAATACAGTTCGACATAATTTCTCCTGTGTGTGAAGATCAGCCTGGCCAAACAAAAGCCTCTGGCCAGGGAAGCAGGTGGGTGATGGCATCACAGGGACATTGTGCTGTGGTCTGTAAGATTTATGATTCCATTTCTACATTTGAGAGTCATCTCTTACATACCATGTGCATCAGCTGTGTTATACTTTCTTTGTTTAACTACCTGACATAATTTTGCTAGGGAAGAATCATGCAGGTTTTTCTCATTGTCTTCTGCCTCAATTAAAGGAGTTGAGATAATTTAGTTTCAAAAATATTTAATTCTGAATTGGTTATCAGGTCTGCTTCTTGGGCATTTGCTCTTAAAATTGAAGAAGAAAGCTGATAGTCCTATCTTTTGGTCATGACAATATTTAAAAAATTCTTCGGGGTAATATATGTGCTATAGGTTTATTAGAAATAGTGTCTTGTGTTAGAATGAGAAATCTTCAGGAAGTTACTAAAACAATGTCACTGCTATGAATTATTAATGTCATCTTTTATTTATATAATGAGGAATTTTTCTTTGGCCCCAGATGAGGAAATGTGACTTAAGTCATTTATTAAGTAGGTTGGACACCTAATATATTGATAATACAGGTTGAGCATCCCTAATCCTAAATTATACAAAATCTGAAATTTTTTGAGCCCCAGCATGATGAAACAAGTGGAGAATTCCACACCTGACCTCATGTTTTATGCATAAAATTATTTAAAATATTGTGTAAAATTACATTCATGTTACATTTATAAGGTGTATATGAAACAAATGAATTTCGTGTTTAGGCTTGGGTTCCATTCCCAAGTTATCTCATTTATATGCAAATGTTCCAACATCTGAAAAAATTCAAAACATTTCTGGTCCTAAAGCATTTTGGATAAGGGATACTCAACCTATATATTAATTTGTATATATAAGGCTGTGACCCAAAAAAAGTAATGTGCATTTCTTTTTTTTTTTTGGCACTGGCCAGTATGAGGATCTGAATGTAATTTACATTCGATTTCAGAAATATACTGAGCATTTGCTATGATAGGTCAGATCTCTATTAAAGAGATCAATTTCCTATTATCTTAATGCCTGTCTTATTTTAAAACCACTTAGCTCTTTCTTTGCTTCCAAAATCTACTTTGAATTGTACTCTTCTTTCTTCACTGTGGGTGTATCACAAGCCAAACGCACTAAGAAAGGAAGTAGCTTTCATCTCCAGTTCACTTTTCTTCTTGCACTGTTACTTAAACCTTGAGAAATATAGGTTTAAAACTAGAAAATGTTCAAATCTGTAGCATGTCTTAAAGTAAAAAGAGGTTTTTACAATTTCAGGAAATCCCTGACATTTTTCTCAAGCAGCTAAAATTGGAGCTAAATCAGTGTTCTTCTGTGCTAGCTTATTTAAATTCAAGAACTTTTGCAACATAGTTTATTTATGATGTTGATTTTTTGTTGTGTGTGGCTAAACTTCCAATTCATCCATATCTTCTAAAATGCAGCAACATTGGGTTCAGCCTATTAACCCTGTGTGAGGGCAGAGGCCTTCATCATGGTAATTTATTCATCAGTAGTGTTCTTAACAGGGTAGGACACTTTAGAACTTTTCTTTTTAAAATGTACGTATAAAGTTTTGTTACTCTTAGTTTTTAACTCTGGTTTCAATGATTAGATTTCTTCTTTGTGGCTTATGGTAACTGACCGTTTATTTGTTCATATTTTTTTTTGTAAACTTTTCAGGCGTACAAATCCATTTGGAGAATCTGGAGGAAGTACAAAATCTGAAACCGAAGGTAAAACAGATGTGCAGTATCCTTATATTTTAGAACTACATCTCGATAGTTAACTGTGTGAAGAATTTGTCTTTTACATTTGCTCTGCTATTAGGCTGTTTTGATGTTATTTTTACTTCAAAATTTTCTGTTTACTCATAGTATGCTTAAAGCAACAATTTCATCTGACTTAAGATGTTGTTATTCATACAAAATTATAGAATGTTATGCTTTTGACCTCAAAGTCAAATTCTCAATGCATAAGATATCCTTTCAGCTCAATAGCTGCTGTTTCACTTCTGGTACTGGAGCGTAACTTTTTTCCTTTTCCAGTAACTATTTATTTTTATATGATTTCAAATTTACAGAAAAACTATAAGAATAGTACAAGGAATTCTTTTTACCCAGAGCCACCAATTGTTGAAGCATTACGTTTTGTTATTTGAATTTGAGACCTTAATTTTCTTATAACTTGAACAACGGAGTTAGGAGTTATTTCTAAATCCTCCTTAGGATTGAATTTTTCACTGGAAAATTTGAAAGGAGGCAGTATATCTAATTCTTTTGGAACAGAAATGTGGAACTTAAAACTACATAATGTACCTTGTTTTGTTATAGATTCTATCCTTCATCAGTTATTTATTGTTCGATTCCTTGGTTCTATGGAGGTGAAATCAGATGACCATCCAGATGTTGTTTATGAAACAATGCGCCAAATCTTAGCTGCCCAGGCCATCCGTAACATCTTTCGTATGACAGAATCACATTTATTAGTGACTTGTGACTGTTTAAAGTAAGTAGTAACCACTCCCTAAAAAAAACTGTAGGAAGAAACATTTACATAATTTTAGCCTAATTAAAATTTGTTTTCCAAATTTTTAATTATTATAGGTTAATTGATCCACAAACACAAGTTACAAGGCTCACGGTGAGTTCTACATGATTAAAGCTTTATTTTAAGTCCCTTAGTGCATATGCACATCTTACAACTTGATAGTAATCCTGATCCTGTATATTTAGGTATGGTGGTATCAATTACAATTGGTCTTCAAACTGTTATAGTTAAATCTATGGCTATCTCCAAAAAGTTATAATTGAAAATCCCATGCAACTTAAAAGAATCAACACAATCTGTTGTGTTACTTCGTGTTTATCCCTCTTAGGGAGTTTATGTCACACACCAAGGAAATTAACAAGAGGAATTAAAAGGTGAACATGATTGAGTTTATTTTATAATTTCTGTTTTGAAATAGCTTTGTGTGTGTTTCAGTTCAATCATTTATTAAATAGACAATTTTTGTTATTGATTTTGACTTTGTAAAATGTGTTAATGAATTCAGTATTCAACAACCTCTTTTGCTTGGTTATCAATACCAAATATGACATTATTTGCTCTTAAATTACCAGTCTATTAAAAAATTCATGATACTTTTAGAACTTAGCATATGAGTTTGTTACATATGAGTGTTGCTATAATGGTTTGAAAGATCTGATGTTTGCTTCTGATGTTTTCTGTGGCAGTTTCCATTACCCTGTGTAGTTTTGTATGCTACACACCAGGAAAATAAGCGGCTTTTTGGATTTGTTCTTCGGACATCAGGAGGGAGAAGTGAAAGTAATCTGTCATCAGTCTGTTATATATTTGAATCAAACAACGAGGGGGAAAAGGTATTTGGCTTTTCAAAATGTTTCTGTTGTGAAGTACATATCATAGTTATAGTTCTTACTAAGATTCTGCTTAGTCTGAATAAACTGCTTGACCAAAGCCTGTTGCTCTGAAGAGAGCCAAGCTGATGGGCTGGGCTTCTGACTCTACAGATCGGTGTAGGTGCAATCTTCTAGCCTCATTAACTTATCCTGGGAATGGAATATATTCCTATAGTTGGCCATTTTCAAGTGTCTTCAGCTTAGAGCAGCATCAGCAGCTGCTTGCTTCATTCCTTGCATGCCTTAAAAAATAACTATCTCAGTAATGAATTTGAGATAAGAAATGGGGTACACGAAAAAAAAAAATCAAGTTATTATATCAAAAAAATAAAAATAAAAATAAAAATAAAAATAAAAATAAAAATATCTCATAAATTGTAACAGTTCCACTTTCTTACAACCAGCTCTCCTTGTTAAATTCTGTTATTAATTCTAATAATTTACAGGATATTTTCAGTTTTATGTGTTGTTAATAAGAATACAGTAATATGTCTGTTTCTTCTTTTCCAATAATAATATTTTTTGGGTTTTTCTTATCTTTACATACTTCACATAAAACCTCTGGTACTATATTGACTATAAGAAATAAAAGTCTGTTTCTTGTCTCCTTTCTTATTTTAAAAAGAATATTTCCAACATTTCACCATTAAAATAATTTGATTTTTAGAAGTTAACCCTTTGCCAGGTTAAAGTCTACCCCTTCTATTATTACTTTGGTTAGAGTTTTTACCAAGAATGCATGCTGAATTTTATGAAATCTATTCTCTATATCTACTGAAATGATCATAGGTTTCCCCCCGTTTAATGAGTTAATGCCATAAATCACATCAATATATTTGCTAGATTTGACTTAGTCATAATCTAAATATTTTATTCAGGATTTCTTATTCATGTTTATAAATAAACTACGAGAATAATTTTTTCTTTCTTTCTTTCTTTTTTTTTTGTACCAAGGTATGCTAGCCAATTAAAATGAGTTGAGATATATTTCCTTTTTTTGCCATTTTCTGAAACAGTTTACATAAATTTGGAATAGTCCATTCCTTGAAAATTTGATAAAACTTTTCCATAACTTGCCTAAAAGTTTAATAGAACCTGATGTTTTCTTTGTAAAAATAACTTTCAATTGTGCTATGATTTCTTTAATAAGACTTTCTTTCATAGTACTGTATAGACTTTCTATTTCCTTTGGAGTTGATTTTGGTAAGTTTTTAAAATGGGAAATTTCAACATTTTATCATAGTTCACAAATTTATAAGATGAATTTATTTGTTAGTAGTTTCTTATCTTTTAAATCTCTGCTGGATCTGTGGCTATCTTCTTTTTTATTAATAGTATTTTTCATAAAGTAATTTTGATGTTTTTTCTTCCTTGACCAAGCTTGCCAGAGACTTGCTAATTTTATTAGTCTTACCAAATATCCAACTTTTGGTTTTATTGACCATCTCATATCTTTTGTTTCCTTCCTTTAAAATAAAGTTTTGCTTTATCAAAATTTTCTGAGTATACAGTTCAAAGAACAAAAGAGTTTTAAAAATTGCTTTTCAAAAAACAGCAGTCCCCTGCCTCCTTTCTCCCACTTTCTCTTTCCCAGAGACAGCCAATTTAATTTCTTGCTCACAGACTGTGAAGAAAACATACGAAGGCTTGGTTTTGGGGCTGAACCATTCTTAAATCAGCTTTTGTTTGAAGCAGTGTATTATGTTGAGTTATAAAACTAGTTATATCAGCCATTTGGATACTTGAAATATTTGTTTTGATGTGAGAACCGCCTGAGTTTTTCATATTTCTCTCTTTAGATTTGTGATTCTGTTGGACTGGCAAAACAGATAGCTTTGCATGCCGAACTGGTAAGAATCCGAGATGCTTAATTTTCCAAGAATGTTAATTAAGGTAGTAATATAAGCTCTTTCATATTAGCAAGTAAAAAAAATGATTTTGCTAAGCAAGGTTAACAATGGATGCTATTGCTGATATAGCATGCAGAATTTGGATAAATATCTATCATAGAATGTAACTATTGGTGTGATTTCTCATGTATAAATGCAAAAAAAAAAAAGGTTACAAAGGTGATATTATGGAAATGCCTAAAATTTAAAGTTACTTCATATTTAATTCATCAGTTTTATTCATCTGTTCTTTAGGATCGTAGGGCATCAGAAAAACAAAAAGAAATAGAGAGAGTGAAAGAGAAGCAACAGAAAGAACTCAGTAAGCAAAAACAAATTGAAAAGGTATGCAGTCCTAATGTCTGGATCTTCCCTTTAAATGGTGTTTGTGAAGACTTAATTCAGCACCAAGACTTTCAGATTTGAATTCCCAAATGAAGGTCTGTTTCTGTTTGCTCAGCCATTTCATAACCAAATGATTCATAACAGCAGAAAAGAGTGGTAACATCTGTCTTCTGATATGATGTTTACATTATAGTTATGTTGACATGTAGTGTGACTTGCTGTTTAGCAAACATACCAAAAGGATTGAAGTGGCTCTCAAGTATGTATTTTAACTGCATTATTTTCCCACTTGACTTCCATTAACTTAGTTTCTTTTCTGTCTTTTCTACTAGGACTTGGAAGAACAAAGTCGGTTGATAGCTGCTTCCAGTAGACCAAACCAAGCCAGTAGTGAGGGGCAGTTTGTTGTCCTTAGCAGTAGCCAGTCAGAAGAGAGTGATTTGGGAGAAGAAGGAAAGAAGAGAGAGTCAGAAGCATAAACTTATCCTTGCTTTTTGATTGAATATTCCCCCCTTGGAATTTGACAATTTCTGTGGTGAAATGGTACAAGGTAACAACTATGTTGAAATATCGAGGAGGAGACTAAGCTTTATATTTGCTGGTTTGTTTTAGCTTCATTTAAAAAAATAAGATTGAACTTGCTGACTTAGGTTTGCATTGATTTTTTTCCTTAAAAATCAATATACTATGCATTAATATTAAATTCCACATGTCTAAAAGAAACCTGCTCATCTCCCCAAAGTAGATTGCTGAGGAAGTACTTGCTCAAGCATTTTTTCCTTCAAATTGTGAAATTTTTATCTTGCATTGTAATTGGTTATGACCATAAGAAATCATTTGTTCTTTAGGTTCAAATATTCATGGATATGCTCCCTCTCTTTCTTTAGGAACATTTTGCTTGTAGTGAGGAAGCATTCAACTGAATAAGTTCAAAACCCTTTATACAGAGAATTCTACAAGTTTGCAGATATTTTAACAATATTATATGTGCAATAGAACTTTTATTTAAAAAATTAGGACAGATTTTAGACTTAAGGTTTCAAATTATGGCAGGTGGTACTGTTGATTTCAGGGCACTTTCTTGGATTGCTCACAGTTCTCTGATGTACTACACCTGAGGCCGTAGGAAAGACGCTTAAGTGTGTTCGGTTCAAGATTGATACAGCCCTTGGCATTTAATTATCTCATTCTTAGTTCTCAGGTTGGGATTTCAGTTATTGCTACAGAGCAGTAATGGTTAAAATAAGATTTTGGAATGTATTAAAAGATTCTTTTTTGTTCAAGTACATTTTAGATTAGGATTGACATGTAAAGATATTGTTAACAGGATGATAAATTGTATTTTCTGCATTGTGTGAAATAATTTTTATTGAAAATCAAGGGACATTTCAAAAGAAGTTCTATAACAATTGTTTCCTGCTTAAAGTAAAAATTCCCAGAGTTTAATTTAGAAAATGTAATCTTTTAAATTTCAGACTGATATTCCTAGTATTTTCATAGTCCCATGTTTTGATAAAATACTGAATCACCACTTTATATCCACAAAGACAAATAACTAATGTATAAGAATAAAATAATTTGCACTAATTATTGTAAATACTTCTACTCTTCAAATGAGTAAAGGGTCTAATTCCATGAAAGACAGAAAAAAACTGAATGCCTGGTATAGTATAGGAGAAATTAACCAAGGAAGGATTTTAGCCTGGTGCCAAGGTTAAAATGACATTTCTCTATTGCCTATCTTGTATGTCAAACCTTGATTTCTTTAATCAAATTTTTAACATTGCTTATAGAAATTATGTTCATGTGTTTCACATGAAAAAGTATATATACACAAGTTAAATATATTCAGTAAAATGTTTTACATAGTTATACATTTACAGATTTTCAAAAGGTTAACCACTAAGACTAATTTCATAAGAGAAAGCCTTTTGTTTTTTGATATAGTTTTTTCTTCTTAGTTTTGAACTAGAAATGGCATTTGTTTTTGTTGACAAAATATAGCGCAGCTGTTTCACACTTTATGTCGTTTTCTGTAGGAGTAGGATAGATAATTAGGATCATGATTTTTTTATCCATGTGCCAAATGGGAGTAATGATTATTTAATACTTGTTGAAGCCTTATGTTACCAAAACATATAGTAAAAAAGTAGGATTTTATGGAATACTTTGATAAAAAGTTTGTGTTTACCAAGGGGAATGCTTTCTTTATAGTGTATCATTCCTTTTGTTGAAATTGAAATTTCTTCTGTGGTCAGCACTTGATTAATCATGGCAAGTTCTGCTTTTAAGACCTTTTTGAGATAAGTAGGCTTTCAGTAAGTCTTTTGTTTATACTACAAATTGTCACCTCACTTAGTTTAGATGAAATCTGTCACCCTACAGGGAAGGTGGTCATCATTAGGAGGCAGTTTTACTAACCTGGTGCTATGCATGTAGCAAACAACTGCACTTTGCACTCTGGGTCAAAGTGTGGGCTGGAGTTATTAATGGTACTGGCAGACCTAGTGATGCTCAACAGATATGTTCCTTTTAAGTCATGTTTTCACAGGAATTTCCACAATAATATACCCATGTCCATAGGTCAGACCAAAATGCATTCCAATGCCAAATAGAAGTCAGGAGTGGATTTAACAATTTTAGATGATTCAATTTCTGTTCCATTACTGTTGAATTATATGAACTATTCCATTACTGCAGATATTTAAGCATCATCCTTAATAAGCTCTCTTTTTAATTAAGGTTGCCCATGTGTTTGTGCCTAATGTTAAAGCTGATCTTGTTCTGGTATCCTCCTTTGAAATCCCTTCTAGCTCTGTGATGCTTTGATGGTGATTGGATTAGATTTTGAGATATCTTTTTCAGATTCAAATTTATACTTAATGGTTTTTAGAAATTAACAAAACTGCTTTTTTGAAAGGAAAGAAATTAAGCCTACCTAATTCTGCTGTGCATTCTGTTACCTACAAGAACAATACTTTCATAACAATGGTAATGAAGTCAGTAGATGGGAAACCAGTTATTCCTTCTGTCCTTTAAAATTTTGAAAACTTTCTATTAAGGGACTGAAACTGTTAACCTTGAACAGAGTCCTCAAAGCTAGTCTGGTTTTTGCCATGTCTGCAATGATTACTTCATGTTTAATTTCAAAAGAATTCTCAGGCTTCAAAATCTAGAGATGGTAAATTTGTTTCCATTATGCTTGGGAGAGAGTAGGGTGTGCATAACATCTAGGTAACATATAACCTTAGAGGTAAAGGTATCTGAGTTAATTTTGAGTGATATCTATGAACCACAATATTTAAAATTTGGGTACCATTACAAGTGCTGACAAGACCTGAGCTAATACATTGCAAAACCTTCTGCCACCTGAATAAAATGAAAACATTAATGTTGGTTTAGACGACAACCTCCTAGAATTCAGATTGTACTTTAAATATTTAAACACACCAGTTGTAGCACACAAATCCTTCCTTTTATTTTTATCAAGTTTGGTTTACTCTTTTCATGAAATTTTGTTCTTCCACATTAATTAATATATAAAGATTTAGTTCATAAATAATAATACATAAAGTGGAATCATGTTATTCTTTTTAACCAATCTTTTGTGGCTGCATTCATATGTAATTTACTTCAGTTAATATGAGAACTGGGGATTAAGTTATAACTAATGTGCAAAATTTCTTTGTATATTTGGTGATTTCATAATGTAAGTGAATTTGTTAATTCTTATTTCGCTGATACTATCAATCATACAGCATACAATTAAAATTCAGCAACATTTCCCTTTAGAATTGGATTTGAAGAACTCAACTTTATGTGATCATGGTATACGTGTGGAGTGGAGAACTTATTTTTTCATTTTGTCAAAATAGGTATTTGCTGACAAAGCTTCAGGAAGTATGTTAGAAGATTTTTTAATGTATAATAAAGTTAATGATTTTTGTACAGTCTTTTTGTATGAAATATTTGGTATATACTCCAAGTTCTATTTCTCCAAGTAATTTCAAATGATGTTTATAAAAACAATTGGAGTTTTTCTTAATCTATAGACAGTATCATTTACACATCTAGCCCCATTGCAATTCTACAACAGCTAAAATGAAAAAAAAGTCACTTACTGGGAAAAGTTTGGTATATAAACAAAGTAATTCATCACTAGTGACTTTTCCTTTTAGAAGAGGGAAAGAAACTTCAATAATTACCCTAGACATGTTACAGATGATGTATACTTGCTACTCTTTGGTCCTACTCAAAGTTGTTCCTCTGATTTAAAGGGGCAGGTTTATTAAGTACACCAGCTTAATAAGTAGCTTGGATCTGTAATTTTTTTTTTTTTTCCCCTTTTTGTCTTTTTTTCGTGACCGGTAACGGGATTGCAACCCTCGGTGTCGCGCCCGTACCGCGACCAGCAACGGGATCGCAACCCTTGGTGTCGTGCCTGCACCGCGCTCAGCCAGTGAGCGGACTGGTCTCTATATGGGATCCGAACCCTCGGTGGGAGGCCGCCGCACTCCCAAGCGCCGCACTCTATGGAGTGCGCCACCGGGCCGGCCCCGGATCTGTAATTTTAATACTAATGCATATTAATCTTTTCTGCTCTTTATAGTTTCTTATACCACTTACCAAGTTTTTTTCTTCTACTGGGAGTTTGTACTAATTTGGATTTTATAAAAAGGTATATACACTTTTAGAAGGTCCAGGGAGTGGATGAAATTACCTTTAGAATTACATAATTTATCTAAATGCATGTTTATCTTAAATATATTTGTATATTGACATTCATATAATCTACTACTTGATTACAAGCACACACCACATTTGATTTAAAAAAGTAAAAACTCATATCAGCTAATTTTACGAAAGTTTTTATGTAAAAAACAATAAAAATAAGTCTGTGCTTACTGAAGTAGTCTAGGTAGCCATGAATCCCTATATCAGGAAAAAAACCATAGAGCTTCAGTTTCCCTAAAATGGACAATATTATGTGGGACTTCCAGTCAAGATAGTGGAATAGACGGTCCCCAGTGTCACACTCTCCCACAAATCAACCAATTTACAACTATAAAAAAGCAACGACAGCCAAGCTGGGGCCGCTAGAGCTCAGGGGAAGAGGAGGAGAGACTTACAGAGTGCATGAAGGCAGGAGAAACCATGATGAGAGAAAGAAAAAACAGCTCCGACCATTTTGAATCCCGCTGCTTCCAGGCTGGAGTTGCTGAGTGCATGGAGCAGGAGCTGGCAAAAAGCTGCAGCTATGCCTTTCAGATGAAGTTGCTTGGAGGCAGCAGGGGAGAAGAGGGCCTTGGTGGCCTCCAGGCCAGCAATACCACTAATAGGGTTCCCATGGACCCACATAGGACTGAGGAGCCACAACAACTGAAAAAAAGGAGCCACTCAGAAGCCAGTGAGTCATTGCAAGAGACCGGAGCATGGCCTGTCCCATGGGAACACAGGTGGTGTTTGGAGCACAGGCAGTGGGGGAGATGGGCCCATCAGGGGAACAATGAGGCACAGCAGTGACAGCTGATCTGCCCCCAATCAGTGTAGGACCACTCGGAGAAGACTAGTCAGGAATATAGAATTGTGTGGGGTGCAGTTTGATGAAAAGACTCAGGCCTAGACTGGTGTTTCTACACAACCCAGGTGTACTGGATTTCACTAGAACTGGAAGTACTTATAAAGTCAGCCATTAAAATCTGAGCTGCACAAAAAGCCTTCCCCAGGGAATCAGCAGCAAAGCAGCAATTTAGCTCAATCACAAGGCTCAAGTACTGGTTCCCACAGGAAGTTCCCCTATTTTAGAAGTAAGCAAAGGACAACAAATTAGTTTCAGTGCAGAGTTTAAGTGGTGGGAACAGTAAATAATTCAACACAGAACTGAAAGAAAAAACAAAGTACCCACAACCAGAGATAAAGTTTGATATTAACTAGTAAAGGTCTCACTTCACCAAAGAACACCTATAATACCTAGAAGAACTGGAAGTCCCCTGGGCTACCAAGCCAGAAAGAGGGGAGGGCTGGGGGCCTCAGCAATGTCCCCTGATACCCACAACCAGTCCCAAGGGTGGGGGCTGAGGGCCTTGGCTATACCCCCCCCCCAACAAGCGCAACCACCTGCAGCAACGACCACTGAGCTGGGGGGCAGAGGGCCTCAACCATGTCCCCCCAACACACGCAACCAGACCAGCAACGACCATCAAGCCACAGCAAAGCCCCGGGTTCCCAAGCTGGGGTGGTGGGAGGCAAGGGCTTTTGCCACACTCCCGACATCTGCATCCAGCCCGGCAATGACCAAGCCACCAATGGAAGCCCCCTGGTCTCGCCTATGGGAATGTGGGGGGAGGTGC